GGTGCTCGGGGCGGACCTTCGGACGGTGCCCACCGATTTTCCTGGTGGAGGTCCGGGACGGCCCCGCAACGCAAACAGCGCTGACGGTCTGCTGCTGCTGCTGCTGCTGCTGCTGCTGCTGCTATCCATCCCAGCCCAACTGCTGGGACACCTAACGCTGTCTCTTGTTTTTAGGTGGTCCAGTCCGGTTGTCGCGCTGTTCCCTGTGTCTAGTTCGGTGTCTGGGCCTCTGCCACCCCTGTGTCTAGTTCAGTGTGTGCGCCTCTGTCACCCATGTGTCTAGTCTGCTCCGGTTTTTGTGCTGTCCCGTGTGTCTAGTTCAGTGTATGCGCCTCTGTCACCCATTTGTCTAGTTCAGTGTCTCTGTCACCCCTGTGTCTAGTCTACTCCGGTTGTTGTGCCGTCCCATGTGTCAAGTTCAGTGTCTGGGCCTCTGTCACCCCGGAATAGTCTATTCCGATTGTTGTGGTGTCCTGTGTGTCTAGTTCAGTGTCTGCGCCTCTATCACCCCTGTGTCTAGTCTGCTCCACTTATTGTGCTGTCCCGTGTGCCTAGTTCAGTGTCTGCGCCTCTGTCACCCCTGTGTCTAGTTCAGTGCCGCGCCTCTGTCATCCCTGTGGCTAATCTGCTTTGGTTGTCAAACTGTCCCGCGTCTAGTTCTGTGCCTTTTTCTGTATCACCTCTGTATGTAGTCCTTTCCCAGTTGTTGCGCTGCGGTATGGCCCCTGCGTTCAGTTCAGCGTATGTGTCTGTGCATCCCCAGCGTCGCTCAGTGCCTGAGTCCGTGCCACCCCCGTGTCTAATTCAGTGCCTGTGTCTGTCCTCGCTGATGGACTGCCCCAGTGTCTATTCCAGTGTTCGGGGAGCTCCAGCCCGGTCAGACACTGGTGCACAAGACCGCAGCCAGCTGGCCCGCGACACGCTGACGGCCCGACCGGGGTCAGAGTCGGTCGTGAGGTCAACCGCTAGGTCAGAGTCGGGTCGTGGGGTCACAGCCGGGGCAGAGTCGGTCTGGGGTCACAGCCGGGGTCCAAGTCGGTCATGGGGTCACCGCCGGGGGCTAGGTCGGTCGTGGGATGACAGTCGGGTCAGAGTCGGTCGTGGGGTCACAGCCGTGGTCAGGGTCGGTCGTGAAGTCACCGCCGGGGCTAGGTCGGTCGTGGGGTGACAGCCGGGTCAGAGTCGGTCGTTGAGTCACAGCCGTGGTCAGAGTCGGTGGTGAAGTCACCGCCGGGGATAGGTCGGTCGTGGGGTGACAGTCGGGTCAGAGTCGGTCGTGGGGTCACAGCCGGGGGCAGAGTCGGTCGTGGGGTCACAGCCGGGGTCCAGTCGGTCATGGGGTCACCGTCGGGGCTAGGTCTGTGTCGGGGTCCCTGCCGGGTCC